AGCAATAGGGACTTCTGGCCTATTCACTGGATGAACTGGACTTTTAGCGTGATCATACCATTCTTATTTACTTAATAGATAAAAACAATCTAACATAGTTAAATGCTAGGGCTAAGATCTTTGTCAGTAAGTTTTTCCCTCCTCTTTTTGAATATGCTGTTACAGTTCTCTCTAGGCTTATAGGGGGCATAATATCAAACAAAAACAAATAAAAGCTAAATAAATAAATAAATAAAATCACCAAATCCCCTACTAGTCTTCTCTAAGCAGCTTGTTTCTACCTGGGAAAGGTAGAAACAAAGGTATCCCAGGCCAAGCTGGCATAGATATTTGTTTGATCACTCTCAAAGGAAGATGTAGGAAATAATCTGATTGAGAAACTTTCCTTCCAGGAGCATTTTGTTTGCAGTTGTTAGCTCAAATTCATACCCACATCCGAAAAACAAAGTCATGCTAAATAAATTCTGGCTTGGGTGGTGGGTTTAATGGGAGTGAGTGTCCAGAGTCAAGTACAGAGTAACTGCACCTTGACCAGAACTGCTGAGAATAAATCAGCAGAAACAACTGCAGCCTTAGAAGTTGCTGTGACTTTTCAGAAGAGTATGATATGTGTATCCTGAACATATTAATTACCAGTCTAATCCTCAGGGTTTATATTCTCATCTGAACTGAAGACAGGGTGGAAAGAAGAATAAGGTATTTTACAAAAATATTTATTGGTAATAATAAAGTTTCTTGCAAAATGCAACAGAAATTTCTGTTATATGTGGTTTCTTGTTTTACTCTAGGATTTAACTGTATTTTTAAGGATTTTCTTTTTTTTTAATACCAGAAAGGAAAATAGAATCATTTCACACAATTATTTTATACATCTTTCTAACTAATAGAGACACTCTAGCTCACAAAAGGTCTCTCAGAGAGAGGTCTGTCTCTACTTCAGAGAAATCAAGTTTGTTTTGATTGCTGATATAAAATAATCTTATGCTAATGAAAACCTGTTAATGTAGAGATGGTAACAATACCACGGTGGTGCTCCATTTCTTGCTCAGTGCTTTCTAACTTCCTTATATTTGTTGAAATGAGAATTGCTTAGAAAGGGACATACTTTTGAAAGTGGGGAGGTAGGGCAGGGATTTCATATAAGCCCAAGTATTAAATCAAAGAAGAATATCCAAGAGGAACTATTTAATAAGCTTCAGATTTTAAAGTTAAAAACAAACAACTCTGATGTTAGAATATTTTGAATAGTTTTGAACAACTTCTTCTAAAGTCCAAGCACAAGATTCATGCTTCCTAGCCAGAAATTATTGCCTGTTTTACAGTGGAAGATGTTACTTTAATATACAAAACTGACTATATGTGCACAGTTTGTCAGTTCTACCCTGGCAAACTAAATTAGGAACCCATATTTAGATTTAAATATTCAATTACCAATATGTAAACAGGAATGAAGTTCCAAGACAGTTTAATAATCACGTTTTAGCCAGGGATGACAGTGCTAAAGTGTCTGCACTTGCCTTTATTTTAGAGGTAATTATTTTCAGTGTTGTGCACCGTGTTTCTCAGCTCTTTACCAACTTCAGAGCTGATGCTAGGTACAACAGATGTGCACAAAAAGATAATAAATATTTCTCTCTGTTTCTGTAACAATAAATTCTAAAAGGACCAAAATATGAGAAAACATACAGACATCTAATAATTGGATTTGTCTCTAAAGGTTAAACTAACCCTTAGAAAATGAACAGCAATATCCTTCAAAACCATTGTTCTAGAAGGAAATGAAGCCAAAAATGTATTAAGCCTGCAAGAAATTGTTATTAGGCTTCTGAGCATCTTTTGTGAAAAAGCACTGCATTTTTAGCATGTTGAGAGTATACACTGTTAAAGACTGCAAAGTCCTTTACAGAAAAATTCACTACCTCTGGTGAAGGCTACATTATTTTCATTAGACATTATCAAATGTTCACACATTTCCAGTTATTAAAGATAAATATTAGTGATAAGACTTACACTGGCAAAAGTAATTGCAATAAAAAAGGCACTTGAGAAGCATTTTCATTCTTTCTAAAGAATTCTGAAACTGATATTAGTTCTGTTCTGTGTGCTAGACCATAATCATTGCTAGTATTCTTATTATCTTTGCTTTCAATTTACATCTCTAGGAAGGTGATCTTTGCTTTCTTTGGGCTCATAATTATTATTGCAGTTTTATTTATTTATTTATTTTTCTTTCATCACTGCAGTGATGAACCACCACCACCACTCTTGAAGTTTATTCAATATGTGATTTTATTGTAGTACCAGTAATCTTATTTTTTCAGTTACTATATTTACATTATAAAGTATTTTTATGCTAACATTTTAGCATTCATTACAACTGCCAGTCAAAAAATAAAAAAATAAAAAAATAAAAAAATGAAGGCTTGTCCATACAGCCAAAGTAGGTATGGAGATTAAAAACAAACAAACAAACAAACAACCCTTATCTATTTATTCATGAAAGCTCTTATCAAAATAACAAATACTTAAAAGTCAGGCACAGCAACATTAGATCTCATATGCACATTTCCAGAGTGAAATTTGAGAGAAACTTCTAAGTATGTGGAAAAAATCAAACTCTGTTCCTCTTCCAGTGTGTACTATATGGTCTAACTGTTGGTCTTTGTTTAGGATGTTCAAATACCCCAAGTATAAGAAAAGACATCTAAAGAAGTATAATTCACAAAGCTAAGGATGCAGCACTGAGTATATGGGGCTATGATGTAGAAATGGTTCTTTAAATGAAAGTGGAGAACACTCTAAAGCCAAAATGTTTGGTGTTGATTTTGTGGATCTAGCTGCTAACATTTTGATATCCAAAAATTGCAGGTCCTTCTTAGGGTCTGGTCCTAATAGCAGTCATACAAAACAAACAAACAAAACAAACAAACAAACAAACAAAACAAACAAACAAACAAAAGCTAACACAGCTTCAGGCCATACATCTTGTATTTTTGTAGCCCAGAAAAAGAGGTGACAAGATCAAGTATAATCAAGCATGCTCAAGTATAATCAAGGCCAGATCCTATTTGTCAAAATGAAATGGAGACCTTCAGTCATCTGGAGATGGTAACAAGTTATTTGTGGATGTTGCTATGTGAAAGTTAATGGATATATCCAGAGAGCCTTAGATCACTTCCTTCCTCAGTTCTGGTCAAGAAACACCATATTACTGGGAGGCAAGGATGAAACTCCTTATCCTCTAAGACATGGAGACAAACATCTTCAGCAAACATACAGGAAGTAGAAAAGCCCATACAAAATATCTTTAAAAGTGCAGGCTCATGAAGCATGTTTGAATTTGGGCCCACATATCTGTGTGACTGAGTTATCCCGTAAGGTACCAGCTCCTGAGGAATCACCAGCCTCTCCTTCATTTTCTTTACACCAAACACAGGCAATGTGCTCAGGCATTTATCTCTGAGGGAGGGCTGAGAACTCTGAATCCTGAAGAAAACATTTTAAGCTGACAGTTAGGTATTCAGCTCCTTGGAAGGGATGAATACCAGGTCCTAACAATCATCTCAGCACTTCCAACTAACTAATTTATGCAGCCTCCAATTTATTTCGATGGCTTCTCTGAATTATATTTCTGCAACCTAACATACACACAAGGTGTAAGGAGCTTGCCTTTAGTAGACATGAGGATATAACAGACTTCTAAATCAGCAGGTATTGCAATGCTGAAAATGGCATTGTCTGTAATGTTTCCATGGATTAAGTCTTGCCAAGCAGTGAAATACCTCTATAACAGTTCCAGGCCAACCAGTTACACTGGCCCATGGTGAGTAGTTACCTTCCAACCATGTATTTGAGGGCTCTGACAGCAGTGCATGAGAGCTTTAGACTCTGCACCTGCTGTCAAATTAGCAATGCATTTCTCTCTGGGAGAAGAGACAGGGCAATGCTGAACCCTTTTGAAAATGTTACAGATGGAGTAAACTGAAATGTTTTCCTACATTGTATATCAGTTTTCTTCAGTCCTAAAATGAAGAATCATCCATTGAAAGATGAATGGCCCTGGTCTTCAAGATTATTCAGTCCTTGGATATCCTATTGAGACTGACAGAAGGTGTCATTAAATACAAGCTTGATCCAGTTCCAATTAACTTCAGAGAAAACTGGATTGTAATCTCAGTACCAACTTGGGTGATAGATTCTTCAGTATGTGCATTTACTTTTTGATTTACCATTTGATGGATACCAGATTCAAATCAAACAGGCATGGTAACACAACTTGTTATTATCAACCTGTGCTCAATTTGTAGAAAAAAAAAAAAAGCAAAAAAAAAAAGCCTTAGTTTTGAAAAGCTTTACATCCTATCACCAATATCCCAAGCCTTCTAATACATTTTGATTTAATAGAAGTTGAATTTAAGTTTTATGTTGCAGCATGACAATCTTCATCTGGAAAGATTTATATTATAAGTCCTACTTGTTTCATTCTTGTCTGTTGCAAAAATTCAATGTTAACTAAGTATTATTATTATTTTTTTTTTCAGAAGATTCTGAGGTAGTCCTTATTTTAGGGTTCAGTATTGACACAACATAAAATGTTTTTACAGCGCCTTGTCATTATTTCTCGATAAATATTCTTTCTACGTGATTACTTCTAAATACTATTTCTATGCAGGCATATGTGTAACTCATACTAGCATTAATAAGAGTTCCATATACAGGGCAATGTTACAAATAATATTATTTCAGTAATTCTGTGAGCTTGTTATAAACATTTTTTTTTCAGCTTTTTGCATAATAATAAAATGAATTATTGCAGAAAGCAAACATTTCAGCAAGTATTATAATTTGAGTTTCTTATTTATGAAAATTTGTAAAGCACAATATACTTGGTTAGTAGACTGACGTGAATAATGACATAACCTATAGAACAGACTATTGTTTATTCATAAAATATATTGTCAAAATATTTGTTGTCCTATATAATAAAGCAAGTGACCAACCTTTTTTCAGGGAAGATTCCACTTCACCTAAACCATGAGGAAAAAAAAAATCAGATAAAAGATATAATAAAACAAAACAAAACAATATGCTATTTCTCATAGTTTTTTTTTTTTTTTTTTTTTTTTTTTTTAATTTTATTATTTAATACATTTTATTCTTTATATGCTGAAAGGCAATCACCCTGTTCTGAGATTTTCAGGAATCCTTTTTTACCATAGAGGATTTCTAGGACAGATATATTCAATGTAAAGGAGGGACCAAGGAAACACCCAAATCTGTATTTTTTGTTTCTGAATAAAAACTTGTGATAACACATTTGCAATTTGCTTGGATTTATGCACATATCCTTGTTTTAAGAAAAAAGAAAAGAAAGATTCAATTTTAATTCCAAATTATAAAATGAATATGCAGGTTAGCAAGATTGTACTAGCAACACTTTCAGTGAAATTCAAGACAAAAGGGACAATTTCAGTGGAACTATGAGCCCTTGATTTGAATTTCAAGGATTTAGTCTGGGCAATAATGGTGAGTGTGCAGCTATTGGCTACAGCGCACAATAGGCAGGGAGTTCATGTGCACCTACTTTTTATGATACAATGCAATACGCTACTTGTAGCCATTTCACACTCCCGGTAGATATCAGTGAAATGCCACCTGGCTAGCAGGACTGAGGTTTTTAAATACTCCTTAGTGAGCACTCTGATCTTGAGATTTTGTATGCCAGGTGTTTTATGACCTTTTCTGCTTGCATTAACTCCACTTCCATCCACTCAAGTACTTGAATGCTTGCAGATTCTTCAAGAGTTACAAAATGATAAAAATTAACACTTTTGAAATTTTAGCAAGCTTTCAAGATTTCACTTTTTTTTTTTTTGTTTGTTTCTCAACCATATGAGAGAGTGGCTTTCTATTGTTTTTAAATCATATCTCAGAGTAGAATGTCCAGCTCACAAATTTACATGTAGCATAAACATATGTTCACATGTATATCTATTAGAATTCAAATATAGAAAAGCTCATGCACCATGTAAAGGTAGAAAATAGATACTATCTCAAGCTTATGAACAAACAGGTAGAAGTCAGTTTTAGTGCACATTGTTTATTAATTATATTCGGTATAACCAAAGGGAATGTAAAATAAACTACTGGGGAATGAAGATGTCAGTCCTACACTCATTGCTTGTCAGAATGAACAATATGATGTGACATGAAGATACACTACTGGTCTGCTCATACCAGCGAATTACTTTTTCTTCTATAACAGAAGGATTGTTATGTCCAAACTTGAAATTCTAGCAGTTTACTCTCATTTATGAATAAGTAATTAAAGTCAGATGAAGAATTTTACTGTAATGGCAAAACTATAATTTTTAGTAAATTTCATTGTTTGTAATTTGCCATCCAAACTCCCCTTAGTCCAGCCAAAATAGTAAATTTTGTCATATATTTCTTGTGTCAATATATTGTCCTGTCATCAGTACATTAAATAAAAAATAAAACTAAATATCTAGGTCTACCTTGTATATTTCCTGATATTCTTTAGATTCTTACTGATGAAAAGAAAATAGCAATTGCCTTTCTCTGAAGCAATATCCTGATGCATCTTTTTTTTTTTTTTTTTTTTTTCTTGTATAAATTTGCTCTTTTCTTTAAGATGTACTAATGGTAATATTTAATTCTGACAGCTTTTGTGTAATGGTACATTAAACATGAGATGAAAGCTAACAAGGAGACCAATTTACTGATTGTAATAGCCAGTAGCTGCTTTATTAGCAACAACATTTACTTTTGTTTTTGTTTGACCTTCTTGACTGTGAGGTTAAAAATTGAGTAAGCCAACATAAAGCACATAAAACAACAGTTAGAGCAGTTACAGAAATCTCTACATTAAGAATACCTTCATCAGTGTCATCATCATCACTCCATATGATGTCAGACAATAAAGAAATAAAGCCATAAAGCCAATCAGTGGATTCTTCCAGTGTCTCATGAATGATTCTCAGTGGTTCTGTGCTGAGCTTGTTAACAGATCTTCCTGAGTGCAGAGTTTAAAAAGAAGAAAAAGTTTGAAAAACATACTAATTTGGTGATTAAATCTTCATTTTACACAGGACTAATTATATCACCTCCTCTAATACAAACAAAGATTGTGAATATTAATTTTTATTATTCAAGGGTTTGAGGACAGCTCTCCTTTCTGTACAAGACTGGTATAAAATGTATTCTTACTGCCCTTAGCAGAGTGATTCATGACCCAGTGGACAATTTGGTCTGATACTGCTCTTCAAGTTCTGTCTCTTCTTTTGAGGCTTGGTTAGGATAAAAATAAATATAGATTTGATTTCACATAATATTTATTCTTTTAGGTAATCTCTTCTTTTCAGCCCAGTTTACTTTGCTGGCCTATGTCCCCTGCCTCCAATTTTTATTTAGTATTGATGAATGTGGGTGTCCCACACCTCACATCACATCACCTCAAGACCTCTGTTTTACACTAGTACTGGATGAGGAAATTGCTGAGGCCTGCTTCAACTGTGTGGACACATACAGAGAACATGTAAAGGATGGGAAGAAGAAAGCTATGTACATTTGGGCCAAAACAAACCCGAGTCCAAAATGAAAGGGGTTGTGAAACACAAATTATGGCACACAGGCAACTATACTTAAATACATACACACGTTTATGCTTCTTCTTTTAGAACTATTCTGGAGCTTCATTCACATATGCTTGTACACATCTGTATATTTAACTAGTTTTCTTACTGCTCCTGTGGGCAAGTAGGTTGGCAAACAAGAAAGCTGCGCAATTCCATGTGCTCCACCTTCCCAATGTCAACAATTACTTGCTGAGACCTGCAATGGAAGCAAGGTCCCTGCTCCCTACATATCCATACTTCAAAGAAAGAAACCACCAGTGAGTAATAAAAGGATTCTCTTAAAAGCATCTCCAGATGTGATTTCACCAAAATTTCTCTCTATCCTGTTTATATTGACATAGTATTTCAGATGAAATTTCTAGTCTCTGACAGGATATTTTGTCCGCCCTTTCCATGCCACCAAACTTTTATTTATTTTTATTTTTTTAAAAAATCTGTGGCAAATACTGTATAGGAGGAGAGGTAACTGTCAATCAGTTTATGTCACTGTCCATTGTAATTGAAATATCAGACTGAATGATTGCCTTATGTATGTGAAGGTCGCCCACAAATTTAGAAAATCAAAGGTAGATCACAAATCTTATTTGTCATTGACCTATTCACTTCTAGTAGTTTCTATAGAAATATATACACTGAATTTAACAGGATCAAGATAGAAACTATCTCTCTGTTTATCACTATCTTCCTGTGCAAATATTTTAATAAGAAATTAAATGCAAAAACTTCAAAACTAGTTCTGGCTGCAGAGTTCTGACTCACAAGCCAAATCTTTGCAGAGATCAGAAGTAGTCTCGCATGAACTTGCAGGTTACAAGACAGGCAAAGTACAGGACTTGAAGCAACTTCTTTGATAGCAGAAGTATGAACAGTTATTTTCTAAAGAAGTGCTGTAATAAAATGTTCAATTTTAACTTCATTTTAGATATAAATATATCACTAAATATTTCCTTTTATTTGTAATTAACTAATTTGAAACATAAAAGACCAGACTGAATTTTATATTGGATCTGTTTGTTAATAAAATAGATTGAATGAATAGGTTAATATATTTTTTTTTCCTTCTGAAAATTATATTATATATATATATATTTGTATATATGTTACTGAACAATTGGGCACAACAAATAAGTTAATCATGCACAATGATGGAATGACAACATTGTAAGGAAATATTCGTGAAGTCTTCATTTTGTGTACTGTTGTATGCTACTGTGTTTGTAACAGATTAAAAAAATCAGAAAGTTTCTGAGTAGCATACCAAAGAGTATTGACTTTGCTTCTCAGAAGACATTTATTTATTTGCATTGGCCTCACACAGGGATTTTATTTTTTCAATTGTTTTGCCACAAATGACCTTTTCCATTGTTTACCAGGAGAACTAATGCCTATATCAGGCAATAAAAGTAAATCTACAACCCAACACCTGATGTAATTTGCATTTACTCTAATCTAGAGATGCTAAGAAGTGTATGCAAAATCACAGAATTTGCATGGCCAGTGGGGCTGGCTTAGGATAAAAATGACATTTTGATTCACAAGCAGGGATAGTTTAACTTTGGACAGCTGCCCTAGTTTTTGCTCGTTATCTACCCACCCTGTCCCCATTGATTGCTTAGGGATGGCTCAGTTGCTTTTACAGCCATTGGCTTTTACAGCTGCAGGGACTACAGCTGTAAAATAAACAAAAATGTCAATGTATTTTAATATTTGGGGCCATAAATTAACAGTTCACAAACTGCTTCACAGGTAGGAGAATTGTCCCTTCAGGCAGGCATGGAAATTGCTTGGAGAAGAGCAAGATCAAGAGCAGAGGAAATTACTATAACCACCCCAAGGCAAGCCATCTTTGCTGATGAACCAGAGCCCTCAACATCATATTCCAGTCTTTAATTCATAACATCTTCATAGAAAACTGTGAAAAGGGATTAGAAATTGTAAGTGTCCAAAGGCAAAATTCTCCAGGAACACCTACACTAACAGGTCCAAGTTGCAAATCCTGTTTAAAATAGAAAGTTCAAAAAAAATTCGGCTTGGGGCTGTGTAGATGACACTTCAGTGGTATTTGAAAAATTAAATTTTGTATACAGATACCATGAGATCCATTTGCAGTGTGATTCAAGTGACACAGACCTGGAAAGATGTCAACTTGTGCATGGATTTCCATTTAACTTTTGTTAAATATTTCCTTTAAAAACAAACAAACCAACCAAAAAACAAAAACAAAAACAAAAACAAAACAAACCTATGCTAATGGTAATAATTCATCCTGAAGTGCTTAATAATACCACACCAGATAATCCTGAAGTGGAAAGAATTACTGATCAAATCCATGCTTCTAGCTCTCCCTGCAACTTTGACAATAGCACATTGTTTTTTACCTAGACAAAACACACATTAAACAAAGGAAATAAAGCATCTTCGGGGAAACAAGCAGAGAAAAAGATGCCACTTGTCTCACAAACATGCAAAGAAAGATGCATTTTTCCATTTTCAGAGGATTTTCATTTTCTTGTAACGTAACTGATAGAATACAAATTTTCATTACGAAGTTTGAGCTTGATATTTTTATGTAATATATATATATATTATTTCTTATTTGCAGATGTCTAGTAAGCATATAATGCAATGATTTTTTTTTTGATTAAACGAGTTTTGTATTCAACATATTCAAATTGGATTAACTGTCTCTGTTGGGTTTTTCATTTATTGTCAGACTTTAGAATACAAATTATTTATAAATTAAACTGAAAATGCACTTCTCTTGCTAATATACATTATATAATATATAATATATATAATTATATATTTTATATATAATATATATAATATGTAATATAGATAATATAATACATAATATATAATTTGTATGCATTAATATATAATATAATATTACATATTATATATGTAATATATAAAAAATACATAATACATATTTTGTAACTAATCTATAGCTATAGTCTGTAATTATAATCTATAATAAACATGTCATGTATTGTGTATTTTATGTCATATCTGTTGTGCCAGGAGTGCTGGCAACAGCAGGTACAGGATCCTGAATATAAACTGTAAAGAGGCCATGTGAAGACACAATAGTTCTCAGGCCTGAAGTACTTCTCAGTACCTCACAGGATGTGAAGATCTACCTTTTGCTGAACTGGTAAGCAGGGACTCTTTGGTAATGTAGTAGAAAAATACTAAATATTGATTGTGAATAGAGGAAGGAGAGGAAGGGAAGCAAATGGCTACTCAACAGGTTACGCTAGGGGATGAAACATGTAATTAATGCTAAATGCCTTTTGTTGGCAGTATGTTGTTTCATTTAATCACAGCTTAAATTTAGATCATCTATTGAAAGCCAGGTGTTGAATCATGTTGAATCCCTGGTGACTTCTAGACTCCCTCAAAAGCCAGTGCAGAAAGCCTTTTTCAGGGTGATATGAATTAATTTCCAAAGTTATCTATCTGTATCCATTGGCTAAAAAGGAAGACTGAAAAATTACCATGGACATGAGACCATATTTTTAGATAATAAAGTATATGACGTGGATTCTCTCAGTGTTACTTGTTTCACATTTAAATCCTTCTTGTCACTGTACACTGAGATCTGTAATTTTACATTCACAATTAATTCCAGATCAATACAAGTATTTATCTCAATAAATTACTTGCATTCCAAAAGAGCATGGGCACCACCAATAATGAGTTGCAATAACATTTTATTTTGTTATGCCTTTTATTACATGATGTAATATAAAGGATGTTTTTCAGTTCAGTAGATGTTCAGCCGTACTTGTGCTGGGATTTTTACTTCAATTAGAATGATAATATTTTATTTTATTTTTTTTCTTTCCCAGTGGGACCTTCAGAATTTCAAATTGCCAGAACTTTTTGATGAGTTCTTAAACTTGGAAGAATTACAGCTGATGGAGTATGAATCCCAGTCAAATTAAAGGATTTCATATATTACCTTTTATCATAGGAAAACACAAATAACATTTCCAGAATGTTGTCAACTGTCAACAAAAATTGGAACACTGTTTGGATTTTCTTTACTAAACATACACAGATATGGTTAAAATAACTTAAAAATCATTTTGGATGTGCTGTAAGTTCTAAGTATTTCTGAAAATTCCCCATGTATTTTGAAACTGGCTTTCATGCTTGTTCCATCAAAATTGCTATAACCTGTTTTAGTTCTGCAGCATTACTGGTACAGAAACACTATTTCTGAGTAAATATGAGTACACGAATTCCAGCCATCTTATTTCTCCCGTTCTGAATTCTTGACTCACAATTTCTACCCCAGTTTATCTGGATATAGATTTTGTACTTTTAAAGTTAAGTGATATCTCACCTCAGTTCTTTGAAATTAACCAACAACAGACTTCCAAAGTCCTTCTGTCAACATTAGGTATATTAGGTACATTTTTTGGGCAAGAAATGGTTTTCATAAAGTGATAACGTAATTTCAACTTGAGTAAAATTTATTATTTTTTTTTTCAATTTAAGGAAAACTTTATTTGTTTATTATTTATTTATTTATTAAATTGAGACTAATAATAAGCCCTGTAACTGTGGCTTTTCAAAACAGAAATTGATTAATCACATTATGATTTGTTGTAACACCTCAAGCAAATCTGGTTATGTTTCATGGTCTCTGTCATTTATTCCTATGAAGTGTGCAAAAAAAAGTGGCTAATTGATTTATCTGTGCAAATCACTTCAGTCATCATTTCAGTCTTAATAATCCTGCCAGGAATGTGGTCACCCATCAATCTTTTTTGCTTGTCTAATAGTTAAATATATAGTCAGAGTTCAATCTATTTTAAAGTGTTTTTTTTTTTCTTTTTTTTTTTTTTAATGAATTTCAGTGACTGACTTAATAATTGTTGGATTTTCATCAATTACGTATTTTGACTCCAATGAATTGAATGCAATTAAATTACAAATGGTGGTGATTATCTGGTGTAAGGATTGATCTATGAGATATAATTTAATTTATTGTTACTGACAAGGTACAGCTGATGAAGACAGAGAATTTCTGTCATTTTTGATAAAATGCAAAAGCCTAACTAATTCTTCATAATAAAACATATCCTATTGTACTACAACATTATAGAGAGAATATAGAGAATTTATTTAAAATTGAAAGTTTATACATTTTTAAGGTTTTTCACTGTTATTATTAGCGGTCTACTCTGTGGTCATCTGAAGAGTAGTATCTAACATATAAAACTAAATATACATAAAGTCTTTCATTATTAATATTCCAATTTATTCAGCATAAGTGTATATTTCATAGACTAGCTCTTTTGTCATGCTTGCAGCATGATAGACACTGGTGGGTATCACGGAATTTCACCAGTATAAAAACAATTCCAAAGAAAACTCAACCTCAATATTTCCCAGAAAATTTTATTTTATAAGTATTTAAAGTGTAAATATGAAGACTACATTCTGTAGTATATATTTTTTTTTGTTTCTCTGGCTCTTTCTAACATCAGTCCTAGTGAATTACATTGAGGTCAGGTCCACAGAGAAAACTTCACCTGAAACTGGATAAATGCATTTTACCCCAAATATGAGCAAATAAGTTATAAGTAGAATATACTTATATGTAATATGAATGCAAAAAAATATATAGACTATAAGTAGAATTTCCAAAATTTAGGAAGAAATTCACAATATTTCATAAAGTATCAAGACATTAAAGGTACTTTTGATATGGACATACAGGCATATGTATACAGGGACATTGTTTTAGCATAAGCTTTTTATGCAATTTATGTGACGTGGTTTGATATCAGCTGAAAATCTTCTGATTTGATGGATCAAACCCTAATGAGGTGGTGGTTCTTGAAACAGCCAGACATTTCATCTAAAATAATTTAAAGCTTTATTTTTGGCTCATTCTAAGGTTTCAATTCCCTAACAGAGGAATACAGATCTTAACTTCAGATTTAGAAAGCAGTGCTGTTAAATAATTGTCCAATGGTATTTAAAAAGACATTTATCAGGATGCAATTAATATCTCTGTTTAATTCCTGGGAATATAGGGAATCTACTGACTGCATGTTTCTTCTCGCTGACAGACTTGTCTCAACCAGGAAGTGAAAGTGAGGATTTTGCTATTGTAATTAACATTGCAGATCTGGGTGTTAGCAGAGAAGCAGTGCTGCCACATCCTGGCACTCTGCTCATGCCCATGCTTTGTTAGCTCTGGCAAGCAGAGCGCACATGCACACACATATTCAGAACACTGCAGGCAGAGTGTCTTTACCAGGTGGTAAACAGGGATCATCGCAATGTTGTGAATAGGTGGCTATAGCAGATGACAACAGGATGAACCCAAGAAAGGCCAATAAAAAAAGGAAGAAACACCATTAGCAATCATGAACATTCTCAGCTGTCACCCAACTAAAGGTATCAGTTATGAAGGGTCATGGAGTTATTTTATCTCTGAGGATCTGCTGTTATGAAGCAGAAACTGGAGTTCATTAGAAAGATAAACAATAATAATGCTGTATGAATCAGAGCAATATAAAAATAGTTAAATGCACAGGTATTTTCAAAAGTTACATATTCTATTGCTGAAATGAGCATATAGTACATATAATTTATTCTAGTCGAGGATATGTATTTCTTCAACAGCAAATAACCAAAAAGTTACATTACCACAATTGTCAATGAAAGAATTACTCTATTGCTTGTTTAAAATTAGAAATTTCACCGGTAAGACTCCAGGCTAGAAATTTAGTTTGTATTTCGTTTTCCATGGAACACTTGTAAGCATGCAAGCCTTATTTCTGTTCTTAGATCCTTCCCTATTCATCAAGCACGTTTCTGAAGTTACTTATTTTCAGCTTGTGTAGGCTAGACTATTTGGGATGAATGTAGTACTTGTAGAGCTGTAGAATTCCATAGGATGTCAATCTTTCCAGTAAAAAATAATTTTATAGCTTTTATTTGTTATTATTAATAATAATAACAATAATATTTTTAACTCAGCTGTAAGATTTTCTGCAAGGTCGTAAATGAGAAATATGCTGTCATGTGGGCAGCCCTTCTAGGATTCAGTTTAAAGCCCTTTAAGTGGTTTTAGAAGACAGTTAAAAATGTTTTGTGTGTTCTAGGTGTGTACATTTTCAAAAATCCCTTATAATTCAATTAAGAATGTCATTAAGAACTTTTCAATGTATAAGATGTTTACTCATGCTCTGGACTGAGACCTGTAAATACAGTAAAAATTGTCTTTTAAAAGACAACAACTTTATTTTTTCTTTTAACACTCCACTCCTATATTCTGTGGGAGATTTGTACGGGGTTTTGCAAATATAGAAGTGTTTTTATCAGTTACCAGTTACCAGTTACCAGTTTGTCAGTTACCAGTGAACATAAGCACAACAGGATGACTACAGCAGGATAAAATTGCAGAAGAAAAATGGATGTATATGTTCCTGGTAACATTTATCTTGATAATATAATATCAAAAAATAATAGTAGGATATCAGTAATTTACTGAATTTAATGTGGCTTAAACAGGATTTGCAGCTTACAGTTTTATCATGCAGGAGACTGGGAAAATAAATCTTTGTGTGCCAATTACACAGTACAAGTTGCTTACAGTAATGTTCATTATTTTCTTTAATCTTTTTTCTCCAAAATACAGATGCTAATATGAAAAGCAGGTTCTTAATTTTTTGTTCATTTGTTTTCCTCTACTAAAAAAAAAAAAAAAAAAAAAAAAAAAAAGTAGCTATAAAAAGTAGCTATATCATTCTGGCCTACCCAAGGCCATCCAAAAGCTTTCTGTGGGTATAAGTCAGTAACAGAAGGAGCCATAAGCTGAGACAGGGAAATGATGACTTCAGACTGTGTTAGTCAGAAGCTGATGCAGGAAAGCTCATAACAATTTGTTCAGATATTTTGATATTAAATTAAAAAGAAGGGAAGGGAAGGGAAGGGAAGGGAAGGGAAGGGAAGGGAAGGGAAGGAAGGGAAGGGAAGGGAAGGGAAGGGAAGGGAAGGGAAGGGAAGGGAAGGGAAGGGAAGGGAAGGGAAGGGAAGGGAAGGGAGGAAGGGAAGGGAAGGGAAGGGAAGGGAAGGGAAGGAAGGGAAGGGAAGGGAAGGGAAGGGAAGGGAAGGGAAGGGAAGGGAAGGGAGAACATTAATAAGAACATATTACTAGGATCCCTGCAGCTTCCTGTGGAGCTGGGAGTTCCATGCCTCCATTCCCATCACTGGCATGCTTTGTCTCCACAAAGATCTGCCTGTGCTGTGGGTCTCTAAAAAGCCTCTCTGTGGTTGAGCACAATAAATTATCCACCACAATGAGCCTGATCTTTTTTCTTTTATGAAAGTAGCCACAAGAAGATGGCAAGCTGGCTACATTTTATATGTATTCTGTGTTTTCACTTAGATAATTTTCTGGATAGTTTGGACTTTCATAGATTTGGTGAGATTTTATTTGGTTTGATTTACTCTGGCTTTTAGGTGACTGGTAAACTCACTATCAATTTACCCTGAATATTGAACACTCTGGAGCTGAAATTAGGGTGGTGTTAATTAGCTGTAATTGGTCACAGAGATGGTAGGGAATTCTGAACACTTTATTAGCCCATTAGCAAATGTGGATTCCTGGGCAATCAATCTTTAGGACTAAAATAATCTTAAATTATTTAGTTATGTGTACCAATTAAAATATATAATCCAGTTATGTGTATAAGAAATGCATGAAATACATTCATGAATTATGAAGCCAATTAACCAAGTGCATTTTTTTTTAGTACTCCGGATGGCAGTAAAAACAAACTGTTGCAAAGCACATATCAAACCAGAATTAATCTTTTTGCTTTTCTGGAAATACTGAGAATGTATAAAAGATCTTCCAGTGTTGTATGCTACTTATTGCATACTGACACACATCGTATACAGCATGAGATTCATAGTGTCCTATCTCAGTTTTTTGTAATACAAGTCACATTCATACTGTATTAGAAATATTTCAAATACAGTTTATAGTTTTAACATGCTAGGAATACAAACTTTTTCTCCTCAAAGGAATGAATATAACACACCAAAGTAAAACACTGAAAAAAATATTTTCCTTCTTCTGGGTAGACAGAATAGGGACAAATCTTTCAACACTGATATAATTTTTGGCTCGTGCTTCCCTCAAATTTCACTTCCAAACTTGATTGCAAATTCTCAGATGTTCTAACATCTGAACAAACTTTCTTACCCATAGCCACCAACGATGCACAGTTTTGCGTGTACATTCCATAATGCAAGGTCCTCCCTGCAATATTTTGTATCATATCCTGTACCTCTTGAATAGTACAGAATATTATAGAATTTATAATAATTAGGTTCTCAATGTATAAAATTATGTAAAATATATCTTATGATCTTTCTGTAAGAGGAGTTTCATGTCACCTAAGTTCATCTAGAAGATGTGTTACTCTTCCTCACTTCTAAAGATTCCTTTTCAGACAGTGAATAGAGAGGGCCTCCCTAAAAGTGATTTACCACGTCTTATTTAGAATTTTAGAATGAAAGCAAGCAAGTAATTTTCATTTAGTTACATGGAGGACAAAACTAATTTTGTTTAAATTGTCAAAATTCCAAAGCTCAATAGTTTACTTTTAAAGGAATATGAAACCAGAGCAAAATCTCTGTATTGGCACTCTCTAATCATAGAGTCAATATGAAGCTTATGCTGATAAATTAAAAGGGCACATAACAGCTACAATACATATGCTAATACTATATGTATTTTGGAACTATTTTCTATTGAAATAATGAGAGCAAAAATGTTAATTATTCAAATAAGAAAACAACGCTTGAGTTAAAATTTAAAATACATCCTTCTTTGCTGAGGTCAATTTCGTGTGATTTTACTTAGCTCCACAAATAACAATGTGTAATCTCAGGGTATATCTGGGTAAAATCATAATTTAGTTGGTTACAGATCCTTTATCTGCCAGAGGCTAGCAGTTCTGTAGGAGAATCAGGAGGAACAATTCTATGTATATGCCTCAGCCACATGGTTTCTAGCCTGTTTTATTATGTTTACCCACTACTGTTTTCTGCTACAGTCAGATCTTATGCAGTGTAGTCATTACTAGTGACTTTACTAGAGAGATGGCATTTCTGGAACAGAAACATAACAACAGTCTCCAGTGGGAGTCAGTAGGTTAGAGCCAGCCCCAGTGTGTAAGTGTGTGACAATTTACCCAGCCCTCCCACAGCTCTCCTAGCTTAGGTCCTTGTTTCTTCCAAACCCGGCAAAGAGTTGGCTCTGCAGATGTGCACAGTATACTTTTAAGTCATCCTGCTACAAATTACTGTGAAACATATATGCTAAAATCCACAAGATTAATTATATTAATGAGTGAGTGAAATCTTGACTACAAAGCTCGACAGATTCACTCCCATTTGTGAGGATAGAAGAATCTGCTCCATCTTTGTGTGTCCACAAATCTCTGGCTAGGTGCCTTCTAAATAAATATCTTATTCAATTCTAACAGAGTTTTTTACAAAAATATGCAAAACATGCAATGACATAAATGTTGATCAGAGGCACCTCTGAAGCTCCTCTGGTGCAGTCACTCTCAGCAAGGGACTGTTGTCAACTCTGGATCCAGCCATGGCCATGACCATCTAGTCAAGTCTCTCTGAGCAACCTGTTTCAGTGTTGCACCACCCTCCCAGCAAAGACATTTTTTTTCCCCAGTGTTCAACAAAAACTCCCAGGGTGTAATTTCAAGCCATTGGCCCTTGATATATCACCTGATGCTACAAGAAAATAACCTTCATAACTTTTTGTCACCTGCCATCTTTGTAACTACCTTTTGAAAATCTTCAGGCTGTTCTTAGGATACTTCTCAGTTTCTTCTTTAGACTAACCAAGTTCTCATCTCTTAGCTTTCCTCATTCATATACTATGTATAATTTCTAAAGTTGAACTTCATGGAACATCAAGTAAAGAAATAAAGTAAAGAGAGTCTTGAAAAAAAACTATACTCTTTTTTTTTTTTTTTTTTTTTTTTGTAGGTTGTTCAAGGAACACTGTCAAACCTGAGAAAATCTACCACTGGGTTTTAGATTTAAGACGTCACTTTAAAATATGCTCCAAATTCTCCTCTGTACAGTATAGCTTCACTGGAGGCAAAGACCAAACTGTCGATGAGTGAAAATCATTTTAATATCAATAATCCCAGCCAGGTGCTCCTATGTGAAATGTTCAGCTATTCCCATAGAGTTTTTTTATGAATCAGTAGGTTTCACCTGGAAAAACTGGACTGAGTAGGAAGTCAGAAACCAAATTCCAGGGGCCATGATAAGAGTTACATGTATGTAGCCACTGTTATATTGCTGTAAAAACTGAAAGCAGTCTAATAAATCTAGGTTGGAAGTATCACAATAGTTCCTTCTCTTAACATTTCAACACTAAGAGCTGATTTAAATGCTGGCTTAATTAATCACTTAGGAACAGAAATATCTTTGGGAAGAAAAAGAAATGAGCCCATGAAAATACTAAAGTATCATCTTTCACGTATCTCCACAAAATATGAACTCTCTCTGCAGATTAAATTCTACCTTATTTTATGTCTATAGCCTGGTCTGAAAATGTCAGTTTCCATTAACACCTTTGGGACTTAAGTGCATTTAACCAATACAACATGAATCAGATTTCCATCTGCTTAGAAAGTTTCCTTCAGTTTTCAATAAGAATACAGATTCTCATTGCTTAATATTACCCTGAGTAGGATACAGAGCATGCATGAGCTGACAATCTAGGAATTACTTAGTTTAGGAGTTTTGTCTGAATTATACCCTGGTTCCTGACTGCTTACTGAAAAAAAAACATATTGACAATATGATTGATTGACTGATTGATTGTTAGTTAATATGGAAAGTTAATATGGAAAGTTATGAACAGAATATGGTGGCTTCTCTCTCTTGGTTTACATCTACTTTGTTGCGTTATGTATGGTGCCCATATTAAAATCTGATGCCTGTTTTGGAAAGGGGGCTCAAGAGGAGGTCTCTGTTTTGTTGGGATTCAAGTGACTTCCTTCTGAAAACAAAGGCAGATGAGAAGTACAATAAGTAAATAAATAAATAAATAAATAAAAGAGGTTTTCCATATATTTTGTCCATTTTTCAATCTTCTGTGTCATCTATTAATCCAAGATTGGTAGGCTTCTTTTAAGCTTTCTGCATCAAAAGCTTTTTCAGTAAATCTTGAGGTCAATATTGATATATAGCAGGACAAAAATCTATGGATTTATAAGTAAATTCCAGGAAATTAAGTTTAAAACATCAATATTTGTTTTGAATTAAAAGTCGGAGGTATGAATTTCAATTCCTAGTTAATTATAGTGACAGATGGGATAACTTTTAGTCTGTTCTTTAAGAAAGAAAAGGACCCTAATCATTTATTTCCTGTTTTGCTTACACATTTCCCAGTCGGTTCAGCACACTTACCTCACTAAAGTTTTGTTTCCAAAGTGGCTTACTGAACACTACTCCCCCTTTAAAAACACAGGTAGTTAGTTTGTTTTCTATTATATATTATTGCCAGCTATAAGGAATAAAAATCAACTAGTGATGAGATCACTTTTATTCACCATTCTTTTCTTCCCCCTTCTCAACTGGAATCACAGTCCCTGTACCACACACGTATGCCTTGCCCTCAAAAAATAATATATACACCAACACTTGAGCTTGCATATTGAGTTTGATCAGTTTAAACTGGACTGAATTATTACCTTACTGAAGATATGGATGTGACTTAGCTAATGTTAAGGATCTAGTCCTTGGTACTTCTGTTTTTTGAAGATGAATTTAGGGTTAACATGTTTATAAATTATCTTTTGCATATGGTTTGTGATTGAATGGTGTAAGCAGGTATCAGGATGCTCAAGGAAACTATGAGAGATTTTAAAATATATTTCAGAAAATGTAAATTAGTAATTCATGTTATTAGTTTTGAAATAGTTTTATATAGAAATTGCAAAACAGAAATCTATCTGACCATGCATGCTCATATACATATCATATTGTTGTTGACATATGCATTTTCCATAATAAGGAAGGGCTGCAAAATGGAGAGATTTAAATTATAAAAATGTATGAAGTATAAACTAATATGTTCTGACATTTCTCACAATATCTCCTCTCTTGGTAAACTCAGCAGAAACACTGTGCTGACTCCAAGAAGGCAAGAGAAATGCATATTTATATAATACACACTCCTTAATAAATTTTTAAATTGTAATATACAAGATGTCAAACAGAATATATTGAGTTTTACCTGCAAAGGCTTTGTAATCCACCAAGTCAAACATTACAATAGCTACTGCTGACCAGGTAACAATCAGAGCGACAACAAGAAGCCATGCTGCTGGTGAGCTGAATGTTGTCACTAGGTCTTCTGTAACCGATTTCTTGCCCACTTTCATGGATGATGAGGGAACAGATCCGTTCTTACCATCTATTATTGTTGTGGTCATAGACATACGTCCTAGGCAAACAGTGAAATCAGAAGAAATAAAATGTAACATTTGGAGCCCAAAAATCAAGAGTATGACTGATACATTGAAATTCATCTGTACTCAGAACATTTAAAATAAATGTAAATATTGCATTATTAAAGAGAGACTCATGCTTTCTGGAAGGAAATTTTCGTATAGCAGGGCCACAATTAGTAGAGCTAATTTGGGAGCAAATTCTGTGGAATAGCCGTGACTAGCCTTTCTGATTATTATGAGACATTTTTTAGTCTGCCACAAATAACAACATACCTAGGAGAGTGATTGATGAAAGTATAAAATATCATTACTCTCCAAAGGATTGCCTTGTTATGGGCTGTAGGCCAGATTCTTAGGTGATGTGATTAAGTGTACTTTCATGGAATGTAATGGAGTTAATGTATTTAAGCAACCCAAGATTTGGCTGGAATTCTGCTGTCAAGGACATGTATGGATGGCAATGAGAATGTTTATACCCCATTTCATCCAACAGAAACACAGGTGATTTGTATTGTGATTTTGTACAAGTATATTTAAGTATCATTATGCTTTGTGAAGAGGCTTATAGCTGATTTTAAATATCTTTCTGCATAACATTTTTCACTTAATTAAATAATCTCCATAGAAGCAACAGTTACAAAGCCAAAGAAGACTTAATTCCAGAAAGCATAGGTTTGGACCTAGAAAGGTGGTAGGAGGGGGAGAACTAACATTAGCTAAGTAAACTGATGATACACATTAACTGTTTAAAGGACGGTTAACAGCAGTGACTTAATATACTTCTTGAGATATTTAGAAAAGTAATTTCTGCACACAAAACATAATCATGGTTACTGAAACCTGCCAACATATGAAATGTTTTCATATCACACCTCCTCATAAAAGATAATGGTATGCTAAAAAATCTTGGTTGGTACTTCTTTTCCAGAATATGCAACAACAATAGTAAAAAATACTCATAACTCCACAGATAACATAAGACAAAGTGCATGAAATCTCCACAAGATTAGGCTACAAATCTGCTTGTAACCTACTGTTAAAATATTCAAAGGTATGTTACATATATTCCTGGTCTAGTTGAGTTAATTTGTTACTAACTCTCATTAATGAGTATCAGTGATTTCAGGGACACTTGCACACATAAAGATCTAAACTTTCAAGGAATCAGGTGACGCCTGGTTTTCTCATAACTTTGCTTCTCACCTTGACATCACATATCTCTGGTCACAATTGATACAACCTGTAAAACTGATAATTTTCTAGGATGATGAAGGTAAGGAAAGTGACAGAGCTGCACTATAGAAAGATAAATAAACTTAGCCTTTCACATAGAAATGGCAAATAATCATTTAGAAACTACCACTAGAGCTAAGGTATAAAGCTAAAGACTTTCAGATGGTTGCCATCACAAGATGTATATAGCCTCTACTTGAGAATCATTATATTGATATTTTTGAAGAAATAAAGGACACATTTATTCTTATATATTCTCTCTATATAAAATTTATAAATATTTTTTATATTTTTATATAAAATATATTTTTATGTATAAAAATATGTTGTTTATTATGTAGTACTTTGCATTTTTCTTTATTTCCTTTATTTCTATCTTTTAAACCTGCTTCTGCTCAAGCATCTTGACACTAATCAGTGCCTTGCTTCAAGCCTTGGAAAGCTGCTCTGCTAAACAGCGATGTTGTATAAGCAGAACAAGATTCTCTAAATCTAATCTTATTTATAGAATATTTATTCTGCTTGTAAATAATGTCTATCTACTGGGATACAATTTGTACATTTTTTTTTTTTTAATATAGTTTAAAATTATCACTGCTTCCATTTCTCCAAATATAAATTTTGGATCAAACATTTCACAGCAGGAGAGAAAATACGCCAAGTGACAGCTAGAAATAAAGTTCAGCTTACAAAAGTCTAATTCCAAATCAATAGCATTTTGTTATCCTACTGCATACAAAATGTAAGTAATTTGTGCATACAGCAGGTCATAAATGACACATCATGCTTTTTTTCCCTTGGGGATATCAGTCAAGGTTCATAATGTATGAGAGGGAATAGAAAGGTACTGTCTCATCTTGACAAATCTGATTAGTATCACAGCATATCTGAAATGACATACAATGACAGATATTTGCAAGTTATAATAAAAGCAATTAAAACTATCTGTGTGCATATAGACATATACATGTATATATACAGATATTTACCATTGAAAGGATCATATTCCTAGGACTGTTGCAATGTAAAAATAGTTCCTTCTTATTTAGTACCTATCTTTTCAAATTAAGGGTCCTGTATGGTTTCCCTGGTGAAGAAAAATGTTTCTTACATTTTTTCAATCCAAGCAATGCTGCAGAGACAAAGCTGAAGTACAATGGAAGGTTATCTCTTGCACATTCTTGGTTGTTAGTGTAGCCGGGTCAGATTTTCCCTTGAAAACACAGTGTACTATACAAGAAAATCAGTTATGGTCATTAAAGTGAGAGTGAAAGGCTAATCATTCCAAATCTGCCTGCAAATCAAGCAAAAACCATCGAGGGAAAGAGAAAGATGAGTGTATTTGCTGCCTTGGCTGTTTTGAAGTCACATGATGGAGCCTATCACTTGAGAGTGGTCATTCAGCAACAGGTTAAGATTCCAGATATCTTTCCCACCCATTTAACACATATTTTCTCTCCCAAGACAGATTTAACTGTCTGCATTACAGCCAACCAGAATCCAAGTCAATTTAGTATACTTAGGTGAATGAATGTTGCAGTGGATCAGGAGATTCATGAGCACTTTGGGTTGTGATTGCTATTGATTTTCAATGATGTTAGGAACTTAAAAAAGTTATATATAAATTTCAATTAAAAATTACTCTAGGGATATATACCTCTGACTCCACATCACAATTTCTCATGTACATAAAACTACCCCATCAGGTCACAAATGTCACCTTTATCAACATATAAGATTTTATCAACAGATCACCTTTATCAACATCAATGGATTAATTTGCTAAATTCCAAACAGTTAAAATTCAGACATTCTTACTATCACTCTGGTTTCAGAGTTGTCAATTAGGACACAATCTGAAACCCTGCAAGATTTTATAGGTATAAATAAACTTTGAAAACTGGTGAAAATGTTGAGGAGAATACTGTGAAACTTTCAAAGTCTGGAGTAAGCTTGTAGTTCTGTCAGCTTAAATAAAATACCCTTTGTATCAGTGCACTGATGTCTCCTTAAGGTATAATAGGCATAGAAGTACATGGTTAAGGATGGGCACTTGATTTTACAATTCAATAGCTAGACTTCCTACTATCCCAGCAGAAAAAGAAAAAAAGAAAACAAACAAAACAACAAAAAGCACCACCAACAAAAAAACACCCCTATTCTATATAGACTCATTCAAACGTAAAATAGTTATGTTCTGTATTTAAGTTATTTCCTAGTTGTTTTATGCACTACAGCCTTTATCCTGCCAACAACAGATTAAAAAAAAAAGTCAAAATACTTAATGTGAAATGTTTTTTTAAGGATAGGTGTATTAGAAGCAGAGGGCTAGTCAAGCTACTAGGAAAAAAGAGATTATTCCCTTTTAAATAATACTTTTGTTGATGGGACAATTCAGATGGGATGAGAGAAACCTCAGTGCAAGCTGCTCTAAATGAGAGAAATGGTAGATTTTGACTGGTCTGTTCTACTTCCCAGATGAACACTCTAATAAATAGGCTATAGAGTATTCTGGATTCAGGTCATTGATGGCTCCTGTTTGACCTATTCCACTTTACTGGGAATATTTAAATACTAATTAAAAGAGTATAGTCGAGAAAGAATGACTGTATAAATCGACACTGTATGTTAAGCACCATCTTGAGCCTTGGGCTTTAACCTGATGACCTTATCAATTCACCACTCTTGTGTCTCAGTCTATGGAAAGGGAGGTGTTGCTGGGACAAGAGGACAAGGGATTAGGACTCTTCAGTGAAGGACTGTGCAATGGATGTACAATAATCTTCTTCATTTTTCAGGCCCAGCATAATACCTTTACTGAGTCCACAGACCTCTGCAGCTCTCACAGTAACCAATCTTTGCAGGGAAAATGCTTTTCACCACAAAAAAAGAACCAACCAAAAAAAAAAAAAAAAAAAAAGTAACAATATTATTCCCTGAAGCAGTCCGATAACTTTTGCCTAGAAATCTTTTGCCCCATCATACGTATATAGTCACTTTGCCAGCACGAAGAGCTGGAAACTCTACATTGGACTCATACCTTTTGCCTCCTTTATACATTCATTTGGGAACAAAATGCTGAGCAGAAGGAAGAGAGACCCTCAGAACCAATCATAAACATCTCAACAGAGAGCCTTCACCTTTTAGATTCACCTTCACCTGTAGATTTGCACAGAAATCTACAACACTATTACCAGAGGCCAAAAGATGCAGATACTGCATGATGAGTAACAGTGCAGAACTGCTACGAGAAAGAGCAAGAGGACACCAGCTGGGCAAAGCACTGCCCCACTGTCCTGCTCCATACTGCCACTGCCCTGTTCCATGCCGTCCCCTCCCCAAGCAGCCATAATGGAGCACACCATGGAGACCCTGATTTCACCTTCCACAATTATGCAGGAGACAAGAACCACCTGAGCAAGGAGGACCTGTGGGTGTTGAGAGAGAAGGAGTTCTGGTGCTGGACAAGATCATGAAGGACCTGGACTAGTGCCACAATGGCAAGGTTGGCTTCCAGAGCTTCATCTTGCTAGTGGCCGGGCTCATCATTACCTGCAATGACTACTTGGTGGTGCACAGGAAACAGAAAGGCAGGAAGTGAGAGCACCTGGATAAATTTCTTTACTGAAAGGGTTGTGTGGCACTGGAATAAGGTGCCCAAGGAACTGGTTGAATCATCATCCCTGGAGGTATTCAATAAATGTGTAGACGCAGAACATAGGATGGTTTAGTGTTGGACTTTAGTACTAGGTTAAAAGTTGGACTGGGTGATCTTGGTAGTCTTTTCCAGCCTGAATGATTCTGTGATTTTGCTTTCCTCCATATGCAACATTTTGTCAGCCTCCACTTATCTAATACCTTCGCTGGTAAAGCAGGTGATTACAATGGATTTAAGACCACTTATTGTGTTGTATCTGCAGTCCTGGTATTCTTCAATTGACAATTGTTTGGAGACGTGCTTATATCCACTAATATGTATCATGTTCCCTATTGGATGAACATGATAATATGAGGGCAAGACTCTTCTTACCACTGATAGGTCAATGGAAACAGAGAAAGATCTTAAACAGGCACATTCAGTTTGTCTTTGAAAGCTCCTCTCTAATCATTATTGGCAACAGGCTTTGTGAGTAGGGCAGACAGCTACAGTTCGACCCAGAGATAGGTGGCAGACACCTAGTGTAGGTCTTCTGAATGTGAAGGAGCTTTTGCAAGCCAATGAGCAGAAATGTGACAAATGTAGGAAAAAATATATAGAGAAAGAGCTGCAGCATAAATCTCTTGAGAATCTGACTTTCAGTTATACCTTTTTTTTCTGTTCCTTATTATGTCCTAATGTGTGAATGAAAGAATACAGCTGGAATAACTGTAAGGAAGCAACATACAGAAGTATCACAACAAAACCTCTGGAAAACTATTCAAACATAAAAGTTAGTGTCTTTCCAGCCACTACAAGGCTTAAAAAGCTGTAACTGGACTGCCTGTGAGGGAGCATTTGCAGATTTGCAGATTTGCAGAGGTGACCGATAATTATAAAAATAATATTCTTTGATGAAATGTGGAAAATAGGGTTGGAGATTATGCAGTAACCAATTCTACATGATGAAAGAAATAGATTATGGATCTATTATTTAGATTATGGAGTAGAGAGAGGATGGAGCATGAAAATTAACTGCACAACTGAATTCAGAAAAAAATACTTATAATTACATATGATGCTGTGTACTCTTTTAATTTCCTTTTCTGTTGCTATATCTGTTGGTTTTATTTTTGATCAATAGATAGCATCTGATAATCTAAAGTAAATTCAGTTAATCTTTTCCATTCATTCTCCAAGAAATTATGAACACAAATATTTTGATCACACCAATTTCAATAAGAAGTTTGTAGAATAAAAGACACATCCTATCAAGTAATTTCATTATCTAGTTCAAAGAAAATGTGTGCTTTGTACAGTATAAGTAAATAATGCAACTATTAATAACATTGATTATAAATAATCTCAGGTGAAAATTAGAGGTTATTAATTTATATTCTAAGTTGTGATATATATATTGGTATTGTATTAATGACTCTTTCTTAGGATACAGTACACTACCACATACTATATGGAAAAAGCAAAAACAAAAGCAAAAACAAAGATTCTCTGAATAAACTAATTGTTTAACTAGTAATAGACAAAACCTCTATAACTGTATGAACAGAAGATACCTGGGCAAAGGCATGGTAAAAAAAAAAACAAAAACAAATAAACAAACAAACAACAAACAAACAACCGAAGAAACAAACCAAAGCAAAACAAAACAAATCAAAACCAAACAAACACACTCTTTTATAAAGACCATTGTTGTAAGCAAGGAGGGCAGCCTGGGCATCACCTCTGCAAGAGCCCTCCACACCAGGGGGAGAAATCAAAGTAGTAGCTATTAAATGTTTTTTGACTGGGAAAAAAGAGTATGGAATGGGACAGTAGGGAAATCTTCTACAGTTAGAAAATGCAACTTCCTACAAGTGTAGCAGGAAAAAAAAAAATCTTCAGAAAACTGTGGTAAGGAATAATATGTAACTGAAAAAAGGGCTTTTTGCCCTGTACATTGACTCTGAAGGGAAGATCCATTCTTACCAAAGAGCACCCCTCATAACTTCCCAAAAGGCAATGTTTATGAACAGCTGTGATAGGTGGTATCCTTATTTTATGGGATGGACCACTGAATCTCATTGAAGCAATAATAATATTAGCTGTTGCTTTTTCTGGAATAGGCTGAGGTATGAAGCACAGTATGTACCGTACAAATTAGACATGGAGAAGAGGAATTTTAATTATTTGTGCAGACTTCTTGAAACAATTTGAGAGGTCCAGGGAGAGGAAGTGGAAACCAGTGATAATCAGCCCCCACTATATTGTACTTTAAAATACAGTCAACAGTAAAGTAAGTTAACTCTGATCTATGTAATTATGACCTTTGTCTTCAGAGAGCCCAGCTGGATCAGCAGATATCTTTACAGGATTTAGGAGCTCACATCCCATGGAAAATACATATGAAACGGCTCCTAAATCACTTGAAAAAGTGAACTTCAGTGATTTTGGATCCAAAATTTCATCTTTCTTTGCACGTATAAATTTCATAGTACAGCAGAGCACTGGTTGATACTTCAAATTAAGTGGAGGAAATTTTATTTCATATATCTTTTCAATGAACTGTAAAAAATATTTTCACTTCATTCTGAAATTGCTTATAAAGAACATTATGGTGATATGACCTAACCTTCTATCTGTATGTATTTTTTTCCTGTGTATTTCAAAGAGCTTTTATATTATTCTGGTTATTATTCAGGTATAAAAAACACAGAAGGGATTAGCAGTTAGTTAGCAGTTAAACTTCTCTGTTTCTGAGCCTGCAGAAAGTCTTATATGACCGTCTAATGTGAGCCTCTCTACAACAATTCACACCTGAAATGACTTTATAAAGAAAAGGAAAGGAAGGAAAGCCCTAAGGTCCACATTTAAAATACATCAGGTTTTATTGGGAAATTTTACAAATTGTTTTACTTACAGATATATCAGTTTGTGTAGTGATTTCTTGAGAATTTAGGAGACCACTGGGGTTAACAATAATCAACACAGAATAAATTACTCCTATAAAATCAAGACTGCAGGAAGTACAGTTGATCATACCAAACAAGAAAAGCTCCATTTACTGCACGTTAAAACAGCAGCCATCGATGGCAAAAGGACATCAAGCTGCTCCCTTTCCAAAAGGCAGAAGACCATGATTGGTGAGTTGGACATTTACATCTATTTGAAATGTCTTGTCAGTTTGACCTGTCTTTTACATTTGCTTTTAGAAATGCAGAGATTTGTTCAAAAATAATGTTTCATTTCCACCTTTTCATTATGCAGATAAGACAAGAGTGTAACTGAATTGTGACCATGTGATGCTAAGCTATCAGCACCTATCCATGTCTGATTTTTATTATTATAATAATAATTATTATTTTATTGATCTGTAGTAACACCTTCCCTTCTTTGGAAACAAATTGTTGCTGTAAAACTGTGAAAATAATTTTTACCTTCCTGTTCATCTTAGACATCTGACATTTCTGAAAGAGATGCCAAAGGGATATTCAGACATACTCGTGAGTTGATATAAGCTGAGAGGTACATCTTATCTTTTAAAATGTCAAAATGAAGGTTGAAGGAAAATGGTTGCCATTTATCTTTAAATAGCATGAAACCTTCTGAAGCCAGAGCGCTGCATGCATTTCCTTTGTTATTTGTTTTTGGAAACTCAACTCTATACAGCCCTGAAGCCTTCATAAGGGACTAGAGAAAAACATTTATTTTTTATGGAAAAACAAAACAAAACAAACAACAAAAAACAACACCCACAAAAAACTGTTCCCATCTGTAAAATAATGATGGTCATAATAAATATTTAAAGTCACTAGGATAAATAGAAGCTTACAAATACCTTTGTCTTCACTCCTAGCAACTATACTGATATAAAGGAACTCTGTAAAAAAAATTCCAGATCTGTATTTCCCCTGGTGAAACTACCATTATCTCTCAAATATGTGTGTCTAAGAATGATTAGTAAAATGATTTGCTTGATTTCCTTTATTCTAAGCTAGCCTGACACTGGAGTTAGAACTGACTCTATATATCTTAACAGATCGGTATCTACAGCTTCTGAAGATGAAAATAATTCTAGCAATAATTCAACATATTCTCCACAACTTATAGGTAGGAGTGATTTTCTTCCTATATATAGGGTTCAACCTTAAGTATTGCATGTAGTTCTGGGTTCGGCAATACAAAAAGGATGTGATGGTCCTTGAAAGCATCCAGAGGAGGGCAACAAAGCTGGTAATAGGGCTGGAAAGCATGTCCCATGAGGAGGGGCTGAGGGCACTTGGGTTGTCTGCTCTGGAGGAGGCTGAGAGGTGACCTCTTTGGTCTCTGCAACTTCCTGAGCAGGGGAAGTTGGGAGGGAGGTGCCACCCTCTGCTCCCTGGTCACTGATGGCAGGACATGAGGGAACGGCACAAAGCTGCACCAGGGGAGGGTCAGACTGGGCATTAGGGAAAAAGTCAGTAATATGAGGGTGGTCGAATACTTGAACAGGCTTCCTTGAGATTTGGTTGATGCCCCATGCCTGTCAGTGTTCAAGAGATATTTGGATACTGCCCTCAGTGCTTTAATTTTTGGTTAGCCCTGAAATGATTACGTAGTTGACAGTCATTTCCAACTGAACTAAATTATAAATTCTATAGTGCAAGCACTGTCTCACATTGTACATTCGCCAAACCTTTCATATGGAGCTATCCAATCATTACAGCACTCAAATATGGAGAACACTGCATAGATATAGTTTGAATACAGTTATGCATGTTATACTCAAGAGACCTGATTCTAGCTCTCTTACCAGATGGAGAAGAAAAAGGCATTTTTAGCCAACAAGAATACATAAATTTCTATACTAAGAGATATGTAATAAAATATATACAAATTTATAGAAGGTTTTGCTTAAAAATGCAGAAACAAAATTCCACATCTGACAAAAAGTAAAAACCAGAATCAGTGCTAGTAGCAAGGCACTTGTCTATGTCACTGATACATCACATCTGTAATTGACAATTTACCAGAAAACTGTATTTCAGGTTGTTCTCTCTGGGAGAGAGAAAAATGAAAGAAAGCTACTGAAGAAAACTATAAGGTGGCTTGCAAAATAGTACAAGCAATTTCATGAGAGACATAGTAAACAGTAGTTAGTTATAGTTCATATTAAACAAGAAATGTTTAACCAAGGCCTACTTGTTGTCAGAGAGCTATTTTCTAAGAAATATGACAATTCTCCATCTCTGTACTTATAAAATAGCCAAGTCCACTATATAGTCACTAAAATTACAAGGAAAACAAAGTTTCCTGAAGCTGGCTTTGAAACTCACAGGCCTATCAAAATACACCCCAAAGTGCTTTTTGATACCTATTTGCATTTAGTGTGTGTTTCCATATGAAAAGTATTCAAGGAATCAGCAGCAGTCATGATCAAGGTTAACTCCTCTGAAGATTTTTTCCCCCTTTTTTGGTCTGGGGGAATCTTTTGGAAAGTATTCTTTCAGTTTTAGAGCAAGAAAAGGCTCTTAAAATGACAATTAAGAATAGAATTCCATGTTTAGGCAAAAGTTAATGGTGTGTTTTATAATTTTATTTTTTCAACAATGATTCCAAAAATGGTAATCTTAAATTGAAGTTTAACCT